TAATCGAGTGCTATTCAAAGCATATGGATATAGCCACAAACATGATGGGCGTTTTGTGCAATATGTTCAAACATATTTTGCTGGAATAAATGCTACATACATTTTATGATGTAATTGTATTATACTACGGACGATCTATCCACAATATTTGTCAACTTTTCAAGGTACATAAAAACACTGGTGCAAATTTAGTAACATTCACATTGACACTATTGTTTGAAGGTAGTGCAACTACCTAACTTCATATCTACCTACCCGCCCCTCACACACAAGCATGCATGTATACATAGATACATACATAGGCACGCACGCACGCACGCACACACACGCACACGCACACACACACACTTACATACATACATACATACATACATACATACATACATACATACATACATACATACATACATACATATATACATACATACATACATACATACATACATACATACATACATACATACATACATACATACATACATACATACATACATACATACATACATACGTATGCATAATTACTACTAAAGTGCCGCTCAGAATGGCCACTGTAATCTTGTCTTGCAATCAACTTCTACAACAACGCGGCTTCGTCATAATGCATGGTCGCATTACTTTTTAAGTGCAATCTGGCATCATACCATGTAGACCACTATATCGAAATTAATGCTATTATTAGGAATATGTCATCGTCAATAATTGCCATACATGTAATAAAACTACATATTTAAATCGGAAGGGGTAATATTTCACCAGTTCCTACCTGTAAATAGAGATATGCTTACCACTGAAGTATTTCTCAATGATCTTTAAAGCCTCAGCCAACACATGTTGCTTTGCATTCAGGCTTTACATCGAATATCGTCCCTGTAACACAATAGAGTAACGTATTGTTCGTGTGCTTTTCACTGCGCAATAACGGGGCGCTGGGTCGGAATTTATCGCCAGCTCACTATGCAGCTCCTCAACCACACGTGCAAACTGTGCACACTCGGTAACGTTAGGGTTTATTTGATAGGATGTGTTAAGTAAGGAGATGTTTGATGAAACGTATCATCAAAAGTTATGATGGATTATAATTATGATTTTGAGAGTCATCAAACTGTATTCTGGCCAGATGTGTCAAGGATTGAATGTCAGATGTGTCAAGGAGTATATGATCACAACTTCGTGTGCCTTTCAGCATATTCTGTATCGGAATATCAACCCGAGATATCTTTCTTCTTTGAAAGGGACTTTATGTAGTAAAGATCTCAACTTCACTGTTAAGACCGAAACTGTAAGTTTGTTTAAAAGTGAAGTTAAAAAAACACTGTTGATTACAGAACTGAATCTAAAGTTAGCTGGCGGTAAGCTAGAGGTGTTATCAACCATTACCTGTTCCCGGAATACCTGTGTGGAGTACAGATGATATTGGTATGTTTGTCATCACCTAATTTGATTACAAACTAGTGGATTATATTTAAAAGAAATTTGAGAGTGGTTTTTCTCTGACATTCTATCATTCCCTGTGACAAACTCGATTACATTTTAACCAACAATATACAGTCCAAGTTTATCTCCATTAACATCAACTCTCTTTATGATTTAACTCTTTTGTTGTTGGTCTTTCATTATTTATAACAGTGGCTCATCGGTTTTTGCCATGTAAAGAAGTATCGGCTGTAATTTGCACTCTAGAAAGATTGATTAAACTGGCATCTCAGTTACTTTGTAAATATACAATACCTGACCATTTGGTTTGGTTTGGATGTTATTTAATGCTGCACTCAGCAACATTCCAGCTTTATGGCGGAAGTCTGTAAATAATCGATTCTGGACCAGACAATCCAGTGATCAACAGCATGAGCATCAATCTATGCAATTGGCAATACATAATAACAACAATCATACTTTGTAGCTGTAGTTCCCAAGGGCACATAATCATTTTGAGGAATGGAGTTGCGTCGCTTTATTCCGGTATATTTTCTTTGAAACTGCATTTCGGTATATACTGAGAACATATAGGTATTTTGGTATTAGATATGGTTGCCAGAACATTCCTGTCTTATTCACAGTCATGGTGCAGTGATCAGCGATCCTTTGTTCATTGACGTAATCTTCCAGAACATCAACTTGCTACAGCGACATCCACATGGAAGATACCATGTGCAACACACTACTTATACTCATGGAAACGAATAAAGGGACTCATGAAAGTACAAATGTTCCTTTATTCTTTTCTAGGTTTCTTTGCATGCTTTGTATGGCAATGTGAGTGAAATTCTGGGAATAAATAAATGAACACTTGAACTTTCATGTGTTCCCTTATTTCATGTGTGAGTTATACTTTAATGTATGAACACATGTCTAATGAACCAACAGTTCTGGCAATGGTATAGCAAGTATCAATCCTTCATGTTGTCAGAGCTGCACTCAAATCATGATCTTCTCTGTGGACCTACTCTAACTTGATGCAATGGCATGTACCTGTATATCTTACGTTACATGTTACTGGTCGATACCGATCTTGGTGTCGACATTCTCTCCTAGATTTCCGTTATGGAATGGTATACCTGTCAGCTAAAGAATCTAATTTGACATCCAGTCTAGAACTGTAAAACACACCGTAATTAGGGATCGTTCATAATTTATGGCGGGGTGTGGGTGTGGGTGTGTGGGGGTGTGGGGGTGTATGATGATGATGAATTTATACGGGTGGGTCATCAATTTTGTACACACCAAGGCAACTGGGGGTTGGGGGTGGGGGGTCAGCAATTTTGTACATAAAAATATGTTTAAAATTATGCTTAGAAATTATGGATGGGAAGGGGGGGTCACTGATTTTGTATATGACATGCAGGGGAGGGGGGTGGCACTTACTTTGTGCATACATTCTAAGGGTTCATTCACATTGCTCATGCTTCTCCATAAAAATCGTAATCACCCCTTAGCCATAAATTATGAACGGTCCCTTAAGCTGATGTAGTTATCCTGTGACGGTCACGTGACTACCCCTCCCAAAATATCTTTTCGGCTTTGCCCAATCAGCTAGGGTTAGTAATTATACCTGAATCTAGATTGCTGAATGTGATTATTACTATTTCACAAGCACGCACGCACGCATAAACACACTTACATACACACATACATGCATGCATGCATCCATTCCTCCATACATCCATCCATACATACATACATACATCCATGCATGCATGCATCCATCCATCCATCCATCCATCCATCCATCCATACACCCATACATACATACATACATACATACATACATACATACATACATTATGTCTACACTACTCTGCAGCCTCTCTTGCATTGCTATTTTTAGATTCCAGGGTAACTGCAGCCGCGTGGAGAATTTCCGAGAAGGTGCTAGTTTCTGAGAATTACATGACCCAGTTATTTCTGCGTTACACTATCGACTGCTGTACACCATGTAACGAACATAGTCGTAATTGATGAACAGTTTTACTTTAAATACATGGAGGAATCACAGTCGCAGTCTAAATATTATGTAATGATTTTGTAGTTTGGAGTTCTGGGAATGATAACAGCAGACTGATATCAGCATACTCCTACTCAGGATAAGTATTCGTTAAACATCAAAGTAAGTCAAAGGGATTAAGTACACCTCTAACGAAGACTCACCTGGAGACGTGACAATTGTTCCAGTTTCTTGTACAGGTATGGATACTGTACACATCCAGAGCTGTATTTTATGGGCGGAAAGTGCGACGTTATACTTCAGTGTGTTGTACGTCTAGTTGGAACTATTTTTGTCCCATTTCCGAGGAATGGGGTAATCAACTTTGTAAGAGGTACTTTTCTTGAGTCACTCCGAGCTACAACTGGCAACGGAAGGTGAGTCATGAATGTGTATTATTTGTGTGTATGTTTAAGAGACTGTTTAAGAGAAGAATTATTTAATGGAAACTAAATGGTTAATCAAAGGATATATTACATCTACGTCAGAGTTAAACACCAGGGACATCAGGATGATATTTACCCTTTTCTTTTAACTTCAACCTTTCCTCAGGCCCATTTTTTATATATTTGATTATATACATCTGTGGGAAATAAGCAAGCCTAGGTTCCTCAAACATAAATAACATCGATGAGGTCTTTATTTATATCTGTACCATGTAGGCGGTATTACTCAGTTTTCATGGGGAAGTCGAGGGGAATCATACCCAACAAGGCTGCTCGTTCACTTCCGTGTACGGGATTTCTAAAGAGACTGGGTGGAATACCTGTAGTTTTGTCGTGACGCACCCAAATCAGATATAAAGTGATGTACCAGGATAACTGTGGTCTAAACAGCAATTGTGGCTTAATCGTTTGATTGGAGTAGATATTCACGATGAATAACCCACACGTAACAATACGTCTCGGTGTTAATTTCTAAATGATGATAATAGATTGACATTCATAATTTCAAATTTCAGCGGTAAAATACATTAAAACATTTTATAAATAGTATATACATTCCTTTACATGAAAAGTATATTCTATGTATGTATGTCCTAAATTTTTAGATTTTTCACAATGGAAATCAAATATTGAATTTCTTGTTTCACGAGTAATGTCACCCTTGTTCTTTCGTATGTGTCTACAATCTCATTATTCCACTTATAGAGGTAAGACACACAAAAGTTTATTCAGTACAACACAACAGCAAGCCTTATGTTGTTTTTCTTTCCTCCGGCCTTTATAACGACAGTAAGTCATGCTCGCGATTGTCAACTGTATTTGCTGTATCCAAATATAACAAACATATAACATGTGAAATGTGTGCATAATCTTCACTCCTAATTCAGCCAACGTCAGAATCACATGCCTCTATCCAAATCCCCATCCTATCCCGGTAAACCCCTAAACACCAATCCCTGTAACCCTGAACCCTAAACAACATAAGCTTACATATCCATGCACACGTACATCCAGTCGAGACGTTTACATGGTTTGCTGGTTGAAGACATGATACCGTTATCTCTTTTCTCCAGACAAAATGAGTCGGGATCGGCACCGTGGAGTTTTACCAGCAACATTTTGCTTTGCTGTGTACATGTTTCTCCTGATACGCCATGGTAAGACACAATATCTGTATAGTTGAAACGCGTTTATAATTCAATCTTCGTGAATGTATCCTTTACTATTATCACTGCAATACCATATGTGGTACTCGATCCATTGTTTCTACACTTTTCCTTTCCTTAAACATATGCCAATGAAAAGGTCACTGTAAGTACTTCTCCAATTATCAATTGTTAGTTCAATTGTTTCTTTCACGCATTTCCTTTGTGTAAACTATGACAATGGCTTTCATGTCTATACATTGACATTTCAAACCAAGGCTCACACTATCAGGGGTTGTATCAATGTATTGATTTGGGCCACCTTCACTTCTGTCTGGAAGTACATTATTTATAATTAAACACAATTCAAAAGGAAAAGACCAATATCATTGATCCTGTGGTATTGTGATGTAGCTGACCTGTCATGATGAAGGGCCGAGTGGTTAAAGCGTTAGCTCGTCACGCCGAAGACCCAGTTTCGATTCATCACGTTGGTACAATGTGTGGAGCCCATTCTGATGTCCCCCGCCGTGATATTGCTGTAATATTGCTAAAAGCGGTGTATGACCCAACTAACTCACTCACTCTTATGTTGAAGGTGACAGTACAACTCCACGACACTTGAAGAAGGAAGACTGTGTTAACTACTGCCACAGCGCAGACCAGTGTCCCGAGGAATGTACTGACTGTGTCAGCGGCTTCTATGGGTCTGACTGTAGATGGAGCTGCCGAGGAAACTGTTTGAATGGACGGTGTGCCCTACTGGCCAATGGTCAAGCCGTCAACTGTACGGAGGGGTGTGTGTTGGGGTGGAGGGGGTTAACATGTAGTACTTCATGTAAGCGTCCGTGTCTGGAGTGTGACAGATACACGGGAGATTGTGTGGGACAATGCAGGGATGGTTTCTGTGGACCTGAGTGTTTACAGCGATGTCCATATCCGTTTTCAACGTGTGTAAAAAGTTGTGTAACGCCGAGGAAACTGAAAATGACTGATGCAATTGGGGAGACACATGGTAGTAACAAAGAAGGTAAGGAGTTTACAAGAACACTTACGAATCGAACCGTATGTATGTGTGTGTTATCTGTAGTTTCATGTCCCACAATTAAATATGTAGTTCCATAATCCGCAGTGCCGTTCTTTGATGATTAAATTCGCAATGAACTAGTGCAGAAAAGAAAGTACACATCTTGTTTGACCAAACTTGAAAAACGCAAAAAAACATTTATAAATGAACATCTGTAAAATTTGAATAGAATATTCAAGTCTACAGCAAATGTACACAATTTCATTTCATAAAGTCGAAAGTACCATTTGACTTACCGAAAGACACGGTATCAGAGTTTAAACTTTTACACAAAGCAACAAGGCGTTTTTTCTGCAAACTGTCATCAAATGTTGAATCATTAGTGAGTGTGACCACCACTGGCTTCACTACACGCCAGGACACGTCGACACATTGATGATGTAAGACGACGAATGACGTTAGGCGTGATCCGTTGCCATTCCTGTAGGAGACATTGTTCCAGTTGTTAAGCGGTGACAGGTGTCTGGTAGTCTTCAGGTTTGTCGATCCAGATAGTCCCATCAGTGTTTTATGAGTTTCATGTCGGGAGAACATGCTGACCAGATTGTTAGCGTTATGCAGAAAGTCGTTTGTCAGTTATGCTGCATGAGGCCTTGCGTTATCGTGTTGGTAGATAAACGGGTAAATGGCAACACAACTGGTCGCAAACTTCATCCCTGTATCTTCGAGGATTCAGGTTGCCAAGAATAATCACAAGTCTCGTTTTAAGACTGCCACAGATCCCTCCCCACACCATCACAACCGGCTCAAAACGGTCGGACTTGCTGAACGGTGAACATCACATGTCGTAAATCACGCATCTGCTAACATCGAACTCGCCTGGCCCATGTCAATGGACGACGTCGGTTTTGAAGAGTCAGGTGCACTCTACGGTAGTGTCAACGTATTCGAAAACCATGTTCTCTTAGTCGCCGGTACGGTTTCTAGTGCCGTTGATGCCGTTGACGTCACCGTTGCAAAACGATTTCTCAGATGAATTGTCCGTATGTGATGATCATCACTGGAACGTTGTGACACGTGGTCGACCACACCTCGGCCTGTCTGACGTATTGCCTGTTTGTCTTAGTTGTTGCATCAGTCTGATGGCAGTGGCTCGGTTGCAGCCACAGGTTCTCGCAATGTCGATGTGGTTAGCTCCTTGTTGGGCCATTCCGACAACATCGCTCTCTCTCTCTCTCTCTCTCTCTCTCTCTCTCTCTCTCTCTCTCTCTCTCTCTCTCTCTCTCTCTCTCTCTCTCTCTCCTACTGTGTCGTGTAGGCTTTTTTATACCGTCAGTATGCACGTGCACTTCGTGTTACATGTATGGTTTGTCATTTCATGTTTTAATTTTGTGAATCATTATGTAATAATTTGTTGTGTATGGTTTCTTTTGAGCACTAGTTTATATTGAGCCCGAACATCCTAAACAAATCTCCCTTTCTGAGAATATAAAGAAATATACCACAGTCTGAGATAATCTTATCTTTCTACAGGTTTGAACGCGAATCCTTGCACGGAGGAATTTGGCAACAATTGCATTAAATGCAATCAATGCTTTGAATGCCTGGAGGGGTATTATGGAAGCACGTGTAATCAGAAGTGCATTGGAAACTGCCAGTTTGACTGTGATATCCAAACGGGTCTCTGCAGAACATGTAAAGATGGCTTCTACGGTGACAACTGTTCAGTTCCGTGTTCGACGACATGTTTAGGGGAAGCTTGTGAAAGATCAACTGGGGCTTGTAATGATGGCTGCAGAGAGGGATATTGTTCTGCTAACACTGGATGTGACAAACCTTGCAATGCCATTTGTCCAAACAATTGTCACTTTGAAACATGCTCGTGCTTACCGTCATCTTCACCCGAGACTACGTCCGCAACAGCCAGTTCCCCTAAGCAAGGTTGGTTGGTTTGTTTGTTGTTTAACGCCCCACTCAGCAATATTATAGCTACATGTATATAGCGACGGTCTGTAAATAATCGAGTCTGATCAATCTAGTAATCAATAGCAATATCATCGATCTACATATTTGGGATACGATGACATATGTCAACCAAGTCAGCGAGCCTGACCACCCGATCCCGTTAGTCACAATTTCCGACAAGCATGGGTTACTGAAAATCAATTCTAACTCGTATCTTCACGGGTCCATAAGCAAGGACAAAGTCAGGTTAAATGTAAGTGTTTAGACGACTGAAGGAAGCACATATATAGCACATTACGTTTATATAGGTGAGTGCAGATATTTAAGTACTCTATATGACGATTCTACACATTTTAATTAGGCCAAATGATAATGTTGTGTCACTAAAACAATAAATTGATTTGTCGTGTGACATTGTTAACATTGTTACCATATCATAGTTTCAACATTCTCCTCATTAAATAGAAATGGATGAAAGTTTTAGGTAAAACGGGTGTGTTGTGTCTGATATATGATACGTATCTACTATGGACACAAACTCTAGCGGGTTCAGCTTCTTATGAAAGAAAGATAAAATATACTGATAAGGACACGTTTTACCCAGAGGATATGCTTAATTTTTTAAAAGAGGAAAACATTTCCAAACCATTATGAAAGTTATCTGATGTTTGTCCATATGGATAAAAGTCGGGCTCGTTGTTCATATTAAAAGTGGTATGTTTGACAACCTAAAATATAAAGGCAAGACACATTGTGCATAATGAGTCACAACGGTGGAAGTCAGAAAACGCAGAAAACAATATTGGAGGTCTCGGAACATGAAAAGATTTATGACCCGAACGCATTTTCGAATAAGATATAGTTCAAACAGAATGCACATACGGGATAGAATAGAGATATAACAGAATGCACATACGGTGAAGGTATAATCTTGAATCTAAGATTAGTCATACTTATGTGTTGTGTATGTGTCCAGAAGTCCAAAAGTTGTAAGTGTCAGAAGCAAAGCCGAATTTATTTATTCAGTTCTGACAGTCTGTAAATCATCGTGTCTGGTTTCTTTTCGGGACAGTTTTTGTTTATATTTATGAGCACATCGTTCCTGATGTTTGCTGTTGTATTCAATGAATATTATTACGTTGGATTTTAGATGTGCGAATATTCTATCAACTTTGCCTTTGAGTAACAATGATACATTTACCATTGTCCCTATTCAGGTGGCATAGTGGCAGCTTACTGGATCGGCTCCTTTCTAAACACGATGTACCTCGCCATCTTCATCATCTTCATCGTATACGGCTACGAAAAGAAATGGTGGACTTCACTAAACTGTTTCTGGTGAGTTGTTTTTTAAGAAACAAACGTTTTTAAAACCAAATCGGATAAAAATGAGATGCATTACTGACTGGAGGAAAGGAACCTGTCTATGACGAAATTGGTCTTGTAGTCTCAATATTCTGTTGTCTGTTTTATGACATGGTCTCTTATAGCTTGGTGCCGCTTGAGCATCGCGAGCATGGTCCTGTGCCCTATTTCAGTTCTGCGATGTGGCAAGGATAACCTCAGATTTGTAGTGGATTTATTTCTCTATATTCTTGGACCTTGGTACTACTGTCTCATGACTCTCCAAAATATAAGTTACTAAACAAACTATCATCATTTGTTGTTGTGATTTTCCCTGTGGAGTTTTATGAGGGTAAAGTAACAGTAAACTGATGCAGTAACAGCCCCAAGGGCGGGAAGCACGTGGTGATAGTTTGTTAAGTAACTTTTTTAATTTTGGAGACAAACGTTATTGAAACTATTTTCCAGAGTTGGTCTGGTGTTTTCATTGCATTCCGTGTTGAAAGGAATGTTTAATCATTAACCGATTTGGAGTTAGATTGTGTTTCATCGGTATCATTTTGACCGAAAGAATTTATACAGGATGCTCAACAAAATCAGTGGTTGCTTTTGGGGGGGGGGGGGGGGAAGTGGAGAATGAAACAGTTTATGAAAAAGTAAAGTTGTTGACAATATGAATGAAACATAACATGAGAAAGCTTAATGAACATGCTACCCACCCTAATCATTGTCACAACCTTCTGAGGTGATAGTCCAGAATACTAGCTATATCCTACAGACACATGGAAGTGTTATCTTTTGTCATGTGCGTCATCAAGAGGCAAAGTCACTTTAGCTATCATGACTGTCCCACTCCATTCGTGGGTGTTTTCTACTCTAACGCCCTACTTCACGTTCTAATAACTGGCTGTCTAACAACTATCCGTCAAACAAAAGGGAGATAACCGATGCATGACACCGATGCATGACATCCCATTTGCATGGATCGAAGCACATTGCTGAGTTGCGACAAACAGTATATTCTAAATAATATTGAAATTTGGTAGAATCCTCTTATAGTCTAAGATATAGAGTTTCTACACATTTTCCACATGCGGTATTTCATTTCAGTCAGAAAAAGCCAGGGAGCGAATCAAGTGAACCAGATCAAGGTAAGGATATGTTTTTCTCTTTGGTGTCTGTTGGATATGTGTCTGCTCACTGAAGCAAATATTAATTTAGTTTAACGCCTTGAAAACAAAAGGCTTACAAGACTTAAAAATAAAAGAATTCTTTAAATGGCATAAATTTGCCAATGTATGACCATCGAGGTATTTGTATTGGTTCGATAGCTCGATCAGTGTTAATATACATGTACCTGCCTACCTGCTATGTAGTCACCCGCATAAATTGACTGCTTTAAGTATTGTTGAGTTATCAAATTTCAATTTGGCAAGTCCGTTACACATTAACGATGTCAGCATTTTTTTCTCATGCATATTTATGTATTTTCAGCAGTAGATCCCTTGTCCGGCAAGACATCGCATCAGGTAATATCGGTGCACATTGTTTGTGATAGTTCTATTTTACTTTCTTAAGCGACTATTGACATTCTCCAGGAAACAAATATGGTGCATACTAATGTGTCTTATAAAAGTCATTGAACCTACACTGTCTAAGTAAACTTAGGCTCAGTATTATTCGTTACACTGATATACTGAGTCTAACAAAACCTAGTAGAAGGTCGCGTCAGCTAACCTTTTGGACTGACCAATCAGAACACAGCTTACCAAATCGCGAAAGTTAACATTCGCACATACCGATTGAACCTTTACCTAAAAAACTCGAACCATTCCAAATGCTGTTTTCCGCACGATCGCTTCTGAGTGATACACGCAATGAGTAAACAGTCGCTGAAAATAGCGTCTTTGTCACTATTCAAGAATGTCATCCTTCGAAAATATTAGCAAATAGTAACCATGTAATTAGAAACCCATAAGCGTATATACTGCAGGTCAAATATCTGTGTTTTATGCGGATTTCGTTTGTTCATAGATCAGTGTCAGCGACCAGGGAAGAGAAAATCCAAAACCGTTTGTCTGATTGGTTAAATCCGTTCGGCCGTCTCGCGTTTGATTGGACGGTCATAGGTCGCTCAAAGGTTAGCTGACGCGACCTTCTACCAGGTTTTGTTGGACTCAGTATAGCAGTGTAACGAATAATACTGAGCTTAAGTTTACTTAGACTGAGAACCGACACATAACATTCTAAATAAAGATAGAAATGACAAAAAAATGTAATATGTGATTCTAAGATGTCGATATCAACGCTGAAACTACTCCCACGCATATGACCACAGGTACAATCAAATTTGTCAAGTTGTATTCTCCAACACTTGACCATCTCACTCACTATCGCCCCCAAACTGATGAGTAAAGCAGGCGTCGGTAAAGGCATTCGCCTGGACGCTTGTGGACCCTTGCACGATCATCAGAGGCGTCCATTTAAAACCAGGGCCCAGAATACTGTCCCAGTCTATGAAGGTCACCTGGAAACAGAATTAGACGTATCGCTGGACGCCGTGGACGGATGTTATATTACAATATCTTATAGGGGCGGTGGGATAGCCTAGTGGTTGCTCGTCACGCCGAAGACCCGGGTTCGATTCCCCACATGGTTATAATACTTGAAACACATTTCTGGTGTCCCCCGCCGTGATATTGCTGTAATATTGCTAAAAGCGGTGTAAAACTCAACGCACTCACTTACTCCAATATCTGGTTGTGTACGGTTCTGCCATTCATGCCTCATAGCCAGGAATCCTGTGAGGTGTTAATATAATTGTCTTGTTGGAGTGACGTCGTACGTGACACACAGTCCCGTGGCAAGTCATGCATATGTGTTCTGTCTTGATGCAGATACCACACCCAAAGAGAACATGATAGTTACCATTGTTCGTGTTTGGGCACTGGAGGTTTGTGGCATAAAGCCGTCAAAGCTAATGTGTCTACAAGCACCTGAAAGCTAAACAGTAATTGTGTACTTTTCACATTTCACAAGCTACAGACAATATGTACGTGCAGGTTGTAAATTACGACCTTGAAGTAGTGGAGATGTCTTGATGAATGTGTATTTTAATTTCATAAAATGTTTCTATTTAATTCTGTATAAGCTAGGTTACATGTTTTGTTGGTACACATGCACACTGCTGTATTACATTTTTGTCATGTATTTTGTGTAAGACGTTGTTACGTGTATATCCGAACCAATTCACTATTGTACATTTTATCGAGGACAACGACGAGTTAGGATTACAACTTACATGAGTTTGCAGTTATCGGATATTTAACATTCCGACTTATTGCATTCATTTCAGACTCCCGGGGACAGTATGACAGAAGACGAGGCGAACACAGTTTCAAGAACCTCAAAGAAAAGCTGTTGCAACCCTGTGCAATCCATAGGACGAAAAGCAAGAGGATTAGCATTAGCATTAGTATGTGGCTATGTCTTGATGAATATTATTGTGTGTGTAATACTTTATTACAACATGTAAGGCAATTCATATGTATCACTATGTATGCACTCTTGCAGTTTTGTAAAATAAGAATGATTGAACCCCTCTCTTCATCCCCACGATAGGATGTTAGTGAACAATTTCGACTACATAAGGAACGCGGGGCGCGGTGGGCGAGCTGGCTAAGGCGCCAGGCTAGTGATCCAGCGATGTTGAGGTGTCGGGATCGAGCCCACCTGTGACCGGGTGTAAAAACCTTGGAGTCAACTTTATGTGCAGACTCTTTCAGTGTTGTCACAACCCCTAGTATACAGTACACAACCCTGTGCACTTGAAAGAACCTACGAATCTGTTGGTATATGACCAGATGGTGGTCACATGAATACGTGCAAACACCTAGTTCCGGGTATAGCAACGTGCAGTGAACTTGGATAAAGTACTGTGACTATGTGTCCTAGTCCACCAAGCTGTGAATGGGTACCTCGTTAGGATGAGAAAGCCACAATAACTCGGTGCGCCTAGTGACAACCTCAGAAGAATTCCTGCCTACAATCCTGATCTTGTCCTTTTTAATAAACCCAATGAATTTGTTTATATCATTGAATTTTCTGTCCCTTCTGACAGCAATGTGGTTGACAAGATTCAGGAAAAGCATGATAAATCTTTTGACAAGATGAACGATAGAGACCTCCAAGTGCCTAACAGACAGTGGATCTCCAACAATGTGTTCCTTTTGTGGGGAACAGCATTTTTTGAGCTCGTGTAGAAAACTGAGAAATAAGCCAAACGCTGAAAAGCTTGACTTTTTCAAATCAAAATCTGTGTGCTTTGGATGTTTATCTCCAGGGCATTTGAGTAAACATTGTAACAACAGACTGAAATGCAATGTGAGTGAACGCATGCATGCAGCAATTTTATGACAAAGACAGCGTTGCATTCAAGGTTAATGCTAAAGACACTAAAACAGATGTGAAGGTTGCTTGTAATAACTGTGTGAACATGTGTGAAGGTGTAGCATATGGTTGTGGTAGTGGAGCAAGTGTCTCTTTGCCTATTGTGCCTGTCAGGGTGATGCTGGACAATAGTGATAGGTGTTATGAAGCCCCATGCGTTCCTTGATTATGGAAGCTCTGCTTTATTTTGTACAGAAGGTCTGATGATAGATTTAGGTGTAGAGAGTAAGAACATTCAGATTATGTTGCTGACTATGAGTCAGAAAAGTTAAGTTCAATGATATACAGTGACATGGTTGGTAGTGACAGATTTGAAAGGTGAAAACTGTGTAAAGTTACTCAGAAGGTGATTCCAGTCAACAGAAAAGATGCATTTGATTGTAAAGCTTTGGGTAAGTGGTCTTAGAGGAAGTTAAATTGCCACAGATTGATGCTTAAGTACAGTTGTTGATAGGAAGTAATGTTCCCATTGCTCTAGAACCATGGCAGATCATAAACTCTCAGCAAGGTGGACCTCATGCAGCACGGACTCTTTTGGGGTGGATTGTCAGTGGTGAATGTGACAATATTGATGAGAACTGACAAGAGTATCAGTGGACAGACTTAGTTTATTGGAAAATTCAGAAAACCAGCTAGTCAGCCAGAACAACCAAGACTTCAGTGAAAGACTTATAGATGACAAGCCAGAGATGTCTAAGAATGACAAGCTGTTTATGGACATTATGAACTCTGATGAGCTGGTTTGTGGACATAATGAAATCCCTTTGCCATATAAGCAGTCATCTGAAATTTTACCTAGCAACAGGCCATAAGCAAAATGCAGGGCTGAGCAATTAAAAAGAAGTTTCAGCAAAGTGAATCTTTTCACAAGGACTATACAGCATTCATCAATGATTTATTGAAGAAGGGCTATGCAAAGAATGTATTGACAGACGACAGCCATCGAACAGAGAAGACATGGTTGATGCAGAGACTTTAATTATTCAGTTTTGTACAGGGACTTACATTTGCTCATGTAATTTACACACTTGAGAATTCCAAGGCTGGACTTTGTAAGGCAAGTAAGCTGTACGAACTTGATCCCAATTTAGAAGTCTTAAATAATGTGATGAAGGGTCGTGGACGGCTTGACAAAGCCTGTATGTCTGAACATACCAAACATCCAGTGATACTGCCTAAGGAGAGCAATATTTCAGAGATGATAGTTAGGAATATCCATGAATCTTCAGGACATGTTGGCAGAAATCATGAATTGTACAAGTTACTTAGTAAGTCCTGGATTCTTAGAGCTACCACTTTAAACAGGAGAGTGATTCACAGATGTGTTATATGTGGAAGACATCATGTAGCTAGTGTTCTAGAACAAAATATATTTACATAGCGTCATACTGTCCCGGCTGATCTTCCCAGAGATCATGTTACCCCAAATGATCCTCCATTCGCGTTTGTATGAGCAGATTATTTTGGTCCTTTTGAAGTTAAGCGTGGTCGTGCCTTGGTCAAAAGGTGTGGAGTAATTTTCACCTGTTTGACTACACGTGCAGTTCATGTCAACGCCTTGAGAAGATTTGTAGCAAGAAGGGGTCAGGTTCAACAAATAAGAGCAGATAATGGTACCAATCTGAAAGGCCACAGAGAGAGAACTTCGGGAGGCAATCAAGCATTTTAATCAGTCTACCATTAAGATGAGTATGATACAGAGAAATGCGGAGTGGATATTCAGTCCCCCTACTGGATCACACCATGGCGGAATCTGGGAACGACAGATACGTAGTGCATGGAAGATACTTTTTTCCGTTCCCAATGATCAGCCCGGAGATGGTGAAGGATTACACACAGTACTGTGTGAAGTGGAAGTCATAATTAACAGTAGATCAATTTTAACTGTTTCTGATGATCCAACTGATCCAATACTTTGCAGATCTCTTCGAGAGTATCTTACGTCATTGCAGATGGTCGCAGTTCCATCACAATATTAATGTGGGAAATGTAGTTCTCATCGTTGATGAAGCAGCACCTAGAAATTCATGGCTTATGGATTTCTCACGGATTGAGAAAGTTTATCCTGATCACAAAGGGTTTGTGCAAAGTGTTGAAGTCAGAACAAAGTCAGGTGTTTTGAACAGACCAATTACAAAGTTGCGTTTATTTCTTGAAAGTGAATGTTCACAGGATCAGTTTTCAATTCTACTGCTTAGCAATACAGATGTGTAGAGAAGTGTACATGTTGTTAATTTAGTTATCCAGTGGGTATTTTGGGTTTATTATGCAGATATATTGTGTGTATGATTGTGTGTATGGATGCAGTTCACATCTCATCTTCACATTTGATGCAGTTGAAAAGCTATGTTCAGTTTATGTAAAACTGAATATGTTTCATATTATTTAACGCAGAGTATATATTGTAATTGTAAATTGTAACAATTAAGGTACCGGAATGTTGCAGTCAAATGCTTCAGGTATATTTCTATTGAGATCAAGGGGAGATAACCTGGAGACAGAGATTTTTCTCAGTGTTGATCACTTGGATTGCCTGGTCCAGACTCGCTTTGTTTACAAACAACATCATGCAGCTGTAATACCACTGAAACAAATATATACTGATGATATAGTCACACTTGTACAAACGACTGCTATTAGCAGAGATTGCTTATGGATGTGGAAGGGTTTTGTCGGTTCTATTAAGTAAACCCACTTTACATCTTCCTCTGCTTTTGCCCATTTGGATATGCATCGCTAGTATACATAATTATTTTTAAGTTGTAATCGCCATTGGTAGGAGGTTGCTCACGATATTTGGGCCATGCTTGATTTCAAAAAGGTGTTCATTGTCAACATTGGAGAAGCCACATGTCATTATACGACCTACAATTGGTTGCAGTGCAATGAGTGTCATGAAGTGGATTTGACATAGTAACCTGACAAGTCCTCCTTCTGCAACACGTTCCCATAACTGAACACCCTCAATGAAATGTGTTTGTATGAGAAAAGGAAATTGTTGGTGGTCAACTTGTGAGCTTGGACAGTATGACGCTATGTAAAATATTCGTAGATGGTACACCACAATAAAGACTTACATAACAGTTGTTTTTTTTGCCTTAACAGATAAACGTCTACCCAATGTCTCAGTAAATAATTCGAATTATGAGTTGAAAGAATCATTTTAACAAAAGTTGCGGAGACAAATTTTCATTATATCTGCACTTCTCCACTACCTTACTCACGTTGCTATTTTTCGATTCAAGGATCACTGCAACGTATCGTTAACGCCTTTGTTCTGTTGAGCATTTCCGAGAAGAGGCTTGTTGCTGAGAATTGCATGACCAACCTATTGAAGACTATTTTTATGCTAACTGTTGAGTGAGTGACTTTAGTTTTACGCCGCTTTGAGTACTTCCAGCAATATCACGGCGGGGGACACCAGAAATGGGCTTCACACATTGTACCCATTAAGGGGAATCGAACCCAGGTCTTCGACGAGACGAGCGGACGCATTAATCGCTAGGCTTCCATACCGCCCTTGCTAACTGTGGAACGAACATAGTTTAGCACTCGATATGCCAGTTTTACTTTAAATACACTGTACATGTATATTGAGGTAAGTTAGGGCGGCATTCAATTGAAGTTAACTGTTATGTGAAGATTATAAAGTTTTGGATAAGGCTATTGTATCAAGAATATAATGACTTTGTTATTCTTATGAAAGATTAATCTTACCAGTTGTCACTAGCAAATAAGGGCTTGAGTTGTTGGGCACTAAAGGTTAAAACATAATAAAGTGTGGAGAAATCAGGATGTTGGTATTATAAATCGGGTCATATCATATTTCAAGCAGAGGTGTATTGATATTGATAAGCAACGCTGGTTTGAAGGTGTCCATAAGTATAATACATTAACTTTGGACCGTTCTGTAAAACACGAAGTTAAAAAAACCTATGAAAGTTTACGCATTGCCCTTTCATCTCTCCGCTGCTCTCGTCATAAGCTATTAATCGAAGAAGGTAGGAAAATAGGTTTAAATTGAGAAGACAGGTTATGTCCTTTGTGTGTAGTTAGGAACATAGAATCAGAACATCACTTTTGTGCGGTATGTCAATTTTATGATGGTCTTGGACGCTGTATCATTCCTGCCTATTACTAAAAATATACATTTCCTTCACAAATAAGATTTCAACAATTGATTGCATCTAAAAATACCCATGTATTATCACTGCTTGGAAAGTAAGTATTCTTAGGATTTAAATTACGATCACGTTTTGTAATATATATTTCAGGCGCTTCATTATGTATGCGCTGCATCTTGTATGTGTATGGGCCAGTGGTCCCCCATATTGTCAATAAACTCATCTCTATAATTATTACTTTTTGTGTGTGTACTTGCCAATCCCTTTTCCATGAGACGTTGCTCACAGGGTGGAAGCGCTGTCCACGCGAAATGTGGAGTTGCCCCAAAGCAACTCCATTTCCTCGCTAGACAGTGAAAGACAAGTGGCGCAAGCGTAATGGTAAGTTTTCCCTCGCATTTTCATTATTTTACAAGTATATCAGGTTTTGCCATTTGGCAGTGGGATCTAGAAATTTACAGATCTTTCCATAATAGCTTGACACCCTCTCTATTTATTGCAATTGTGCGTTAAGCGAGGGCACCCTCCTGAGTGTCGAAACAAGATCGCGGAAAATGATAGTTTAAACACAAAATATGACAACCTCATCAGCAGATACGCCTTTTTTCTCATAGAAATAGTTATTTTAGGTCTTCATTCAGAGTTTAGGCTTTAAGGTGTCAGTATTGTTTTAGTTATCATAAAAAATTCAAACTGTACCTTTCATATGGAGTTATGTTGAAACTGTCCATTGCGTTGAATGTTTTATGTTGAAATAAATGTCCATGTAGTTGCATGGATTTTAGGGCATGAACTGTCGAAATTCCACAGTTGTTGATACCCTTTTCCACAGACTTGGCAATGGAAACGGTAGTTGTTGTGATGGATTCCCGAAATGCTATGTTCACATATAACGATTCGCGCAACGATTGAAATCCTTTTCCCCCTGTTGATTCCAAAGGTGACTGCAGCGGTAGGTATGGGATATGTGACTTTTCAAGAGTGGCGATAAAATTTACAAAATGTGTTATCGGAAGAAAGGTGAGATGTTTTGAAATTGATTCTGAGCGCAAAGGCCAGTGAAGTACTGGAAATACTGGAGAAATATGCTGCTTTCAATGCTTTTTCACGATTCTGGCCGCTGTGTTTGAGAAACTGAAGTGAGAGAGTGAGTGAGTTTAGTTTTACGCCACACTCAGCAATATTACAGCTATATGGCGGCGGCATGTAAATAATCGAGTCTGGACCAGACAAGAAAGTGGTCAATAGCATGAGCATCGATCTACGCAACTGAGATACGATGACATGTGTCAACCATGTCAGCGAGCCTAACCTGACCACCCGATCCCGTTTGTCGCGTCTTACGACAAGCATGGGCTACTGAAGATCAATTCAAACCCGGATCTTCACGGGTCGAAAAAATACCGAAATGATAACGAATAATTTTGAAGATCTGACAAAGGTTGATCTTCTCATTCATGGTAATACTTAAATCAAATCACGTCTAGACCTCTAGAGACGAACCCTTCAGAATTCAAAGAAAATATGAAACTTTGGAAAATTCATTCAAATTAGTAGGACCCCGATTATGTTTATATTGCCAAGTATTTCAGGAATATATCATCATTTATTGCATGTTGCGGTACAAGGGTGACTTGAAGGTGACTGTCAAGTGGGAGGTGTGAATTTCGAAACATTGATGCCAACCACAGGTTCCCAAACTTTCTTTGAACTACACTTGTGACTTCTTCCTATTGTTTTAGCACTCCATTATTTCTGAGGATTTGAGAGTTGCTAAATATATGTCAAGTAATGGAGAGTTGTTTCAGTGTTGTGTTAAGCTGGTACAGGTTAAGCGAGTACGAACGTGACTTTGTGAGGAGCCCTTTCTAACCGATTATTTTTAAAAAATATATACTTTTACGTTTATATGTAAGTTTCAAGTAACGACATTAAATGTTACAATTATAAACAGTTTACTTACTATAATTTATTGGGGGAATTAACACCATAACTCCCAATTCCTTAAATATAGTACGTTTTATTACTCTCCCTTACGTATAAGTCACAATCGCGTATAGTGGATGTTGGTATCATGATATTTTAATGCCTCGCTATACCGCTCTGTTGGTACAGTAGACGCGTCTTTCGAGGGTTCGACTCTCCCAATAGTATTTTTCCTTAAGGGGGACGTTTTGTGGGCAGTTTTATTGTGAATCACGCATGCATCCTCCGAAGATGACAAGAACTGCGGAATATGTCTGAATATGAAAAAGAGAATAAAATCAGCAAAAGTGTTAAAACCTGACAGCAAACCAGTGTCAACAGATTTGGCGATTAGATAATGCGGAAGTCAAGTTGGAAAAGACCTCAGATCTTCTTCCAGTCAATTGTATGGAACAAGCCTTCTGGAAACCGTCCATACACGAAGCTGTAAAGTCCAGTTTCATTACACAAAGCAGACGTAAATAGCTACTCCTGCCCATCCTTCAGATAGACACATTTTAGCCCTCATTTCCCCATCCAACAGTCAGCCCTTCCACTAGCCCTTTTTAAAACGAAAACTCCACCCATCCACCGCACCCCTTATTACATCCCCTTATTCCCAGACAGACTAATCCTGGAAGTGTTTTGATATGAACACATGCTAGTGTCTAAAGCATCGCCAAGACAGTTCAACCTTTTAATTTTATTAATCCATCATATAGTTGACTTGAACTCATATAAATATCAACATCCACCACGACCAAAATCAATCTTCGGACAGTTTTTTTATACTTTCCATCTGAGTTGTGGCCTACGCCAAGTTCAGTTTCACCACACAAAGCTGAAGTAAATAAAATCAGCACATTTTACCATCACCTCTAGTGCCTCCATTTACTCTCTCAGCAAATACATATATAGCAACAACACTAAGAAAGCAAGTTCTTTGACCTTGCATTTATTTATGAATCTTCAGGCACATAAATGATAATGGGTGCACTGAAACTCATCACTTTGGAATTGTAAGAGCCGATTAATCTCTTGGTTTGTGATGAGTTTACAAGCTGATCCCCTTTCCTCTTTTGCTCCAACGCCACCTTCATTCTGTGAAAAAGAATATGATCATACCGTATATATCATGAGAATGTTCATTAGCCGTAGCGCAAGCTGAAAATAATGTTCTTTTACTACGATATCATCCAGATATCATCTAGGGATGCCACTGTACGCACATTACTGCTTCCATTTGATTCGTCTTCACTCATTTGACAACGTGTACATTAATAACATGTTCTGAGAGCCAGTGCAGTTGTCACACTGTTGACAACTATGGTAACTGACAACAAACACATGTCAATGTCTGCCATTCAGATTGAATGAATGTTGTTTTTTTCTCAACTGGCGACAACACTATAGTTCTTTCATGAACGCTGTCAAACGAAGCCCTTAACGATAAATAGCATAAAATGGTTAGAAAGCGGCAACTGATTTCGCTGATTTTGGTGATGCATGTCAACGTATGGTACGGCCTTTAACAACAAACAAGCAATAGTTAAGACTGAACTCTGAAAAGCGACGCTGAATATGTGCAGCTCGGGACATTCCATACACTAGACTACCCAGCAGTGGTCTTTCCTAAAAGCCATAACATATGGCGTGTTGCAGGTAAACTGGATGCATTAAATCCAGCAATTGTGTGATCTGAGGTAGTCAGATGGATGGGGTTAATATACATATACGTACCTGTGGAAGATGAAACTGACAATACCGAAGGTAATTACTGCAGACAATACAGCAATTGCTGTTGGCAAATATGGGGATGTTGTCCATCTGTCACTGAGAGATGTTGAGGGCATTTCATGAAGTTGGTGAAACTCTATAACAGGAAGTTTATAATACATTGCCTTTGTTAAAATTAAGCATGTTGATACCTGCTACATGTACTCTCAGTTATATTCTTATATAGTTAGCAACGAAGAACTGGGATTGCGGACTAAAAAATAATTATACATTTGTTCAGACCATATTGTTAAATATAATATACATGGTTTGTAGTATTCCTGTTAGCACCTTACCTCCACTGCTGTGGGACATGTTTGTGTTGCATGTGTGAATCTTGCTTGAGTTATTACCGTGTGTCTGCCTTAATGCAACAGACATGTTGTTTTTCTTCGGGTTTTTGTCAATAGCATCAGAAGAGTTAGACAAGCACTCTCCAGTGTTTTTGTCACACTTAGAGCATGGGTAGGGACATCGCTGTAAGCACCCAGGTCCATAGAATCCATCCCTGCATTGTCCCACACAATCTCCCGTGTATCTGTCACACCCCAGACACGGACGCTTACATCTAGTACTACATGTTAACCCCCTCCACCCCAACACACACCCCTCCGTACAGTTGACGGCTCGACCATTGGCCAGTAGGGCACACCGTCCATTCAAACAGTTTCCTCGGCAGCTCCGTCTACAGTCAGACCCATAGAAGCCGCTGACACAGTCAGTACATTCCTCAGGACACTGGTCTGCGCTGGGGCAGTAGTTCACACAGCATTCTTTCTTCAAGTGTCGTGGAGTTTTATGCACGCACTTACTGCCACCTTCAACATACGATAGGTCACCTACATCACAATATGACAGGATCGATGCTATTGGTCTTTAATTTCCCTTTGAATTGTGTTTTATTATAAATGATATACTTGCCACTGGTAAATGTAACCTTTTTTGTGAAAGACAATGCAAAAAGAAGTGAAGGTGGCCCAATCAATACATAGATGCAACTTGAGGTAGTGTGGACCGTTGTTTCAAATGTCAATATACAGATATGAATATACTCTTGCTTGACAACAGTACAAGAATCTGTATCGAAACGTCGCACTCACGCAATAAAGAAGTTGTTATCCATAAAAACGTGTTCCATATTGTACGTCTCAAAATGCCACTCAAACAAGATATGAAAGTGTTGATCAAAGTTTTACACGTGGGAAATATGTGAAACAATGGTCGTTGCACTCATGACAGGTAGATACATTATTGTATTTATGGTCACTGTTTGATTGGCATATGTTTAAGGAAAGGAAAAGTGCAGAAACAATGGATCAAGTACCTCATATGGTATTGTAGTGATCAAGACCAAAAGAGACATTCACAAAGAGTTAATACAAACACGTTTCAACTACATAGATGGTGTGTCTTACCGTGGTGTATCAGGAGAAACATGTACACAGCAAAGCCAAATGTTGCTGGTAAAACTCCACGGTGCCGATCACGACTCATTTTGTCTGGAGAAAAGAGATAACGGTATCATGTCTTCAACTATCAAACCATGTAAACGTCTCGACTGGATGTACGTGTCCATTAACATGAAAGCTTATACTGTTTCGGTGTAAGGGATTCAAGGTAAGGGGCTTTGGCCCCTGGTGATTGGTGTTAAGGGGTTCGCCAGGGAATACGTTTTAGGATTTGGATAGAGGCATGTGATTCTGACGTTAGCTGCTTTAGGAGTGAAGATTATGCACACATTTTACATGCTATATGTTTGTTACATTTGGATAATTTTATACATTTCTATTGGTTGTACAATTCTGAAAGTTTGTGGATAATTCCAACCGGAACTAAATACATGTAGCTAGTGTTGCGGTTAATTCATTGCCGTGACAAAAGGTTTAAGAGTCCCCTTTGAACCAGCAAAATAGAACACAGACAAGTCTAAAATATTCAATAATATATTGAACAAACAATGAGCAAACTACAATAAATGACAATACAGATATCTAGTACAATAGTCACTAATCTAAAATATTGGGTCACAGACATAAAATATTAACTCACCAGAGTCTTGATATTTACAGTGTGAGCAGATATACTGATTGAAGGTTGTTTACAATAACATATGGAGAATATAGAAGAGCACGGTCAGTCTTAAATTTGCCATTGGAGATATATAATGCGAGATACGAGCCAAAACCCACATTCAAAACTTCAAACACTGCAACCCATAACAACTATCACTCAATCAATGATATCACAAATTACAAAGAAAAACACTTTCATAACTCTAGGTTAAACAAGAAACTACTAAAAGACCCAAATTTATAAAAGTAATATGGCTGTGATCTTAAGGTGTCTGAATATGTTACAATCATAGCAATATAATTAACATAATGAGATGAAATGTAATAATATGAATATCATGAGAAATATCTTGCAGAATTACTATGATATAATGCAGATACAAACATACAGCAGCATCAAGTCATTATACCTTTACAACCTGGAAAGTGCATCAGCACAAACATTGTCTTTGCCTTTAATGAGTCTTGTCACAAGATTGAACCCTTGCAAGGTCAAACTCCACCTCATAAGTCTTTGAGTCTTGTTCTTCATTTTGTGAAGAAACGTCAAGGAATTGTGATCAGTAAATCCTTCATTTGGAAAAGAAGTGGTAACTAGGTACACTTCAAAATGCTGCAAAGCTAGCAAAAGACCTTATGTTGCTTTCTCAATGGTAGAATAATTTCTTTGATGCTTATCAAACTTCTTGGAAAAATAACAAACTGGTGTTCAATTCCTGAATCATCCTCTTGAATCAGGACAGCACCTGCACCTACATCACTTGCATCAATTTGTAACTTAAATGCTTTCTCAAAATTTGTTGCCTGCAATACTGGAGAATTCATGAGTATGGCCTTGACTGTTTCAAATGCAGACTGACAACTGCTATCCCACTGGAATTTTACCCTTTTCCCCAAAGGGTTGGTAAGTGGTGATACAACATCTGAGAAATTTTGACAAAACTTTCTATAATAGCCTGCCATACCCAAGAATCCCATGAGTTCTCTCTTAGACTGAGGTACTGGAAAATGTACAATTGCTTTAACCTTAGCATGAAGTGGCTGTACCTGGTCGTGCACTACAACATGCCATAAAAATGTGTGCTTCCCAAACTTTTCAAGATTCACAGTCAGTTTTGTTTCAGTCCGTCTTTTGAAAAGAAAGCATGAGTTCTCTTCAGATGGTCTTCCCACTCCATGTCGTAAGCTTCGACACTATCAAGACCAGATGTGACATTGTTGACGAGTCTCTGGAAAGTCGCTGGTGCATTCTTCAGACCAAACGGCATCACTTAGTATTGATACTGTCCATCTGGTGTAGCGAGAGCCAATATTTTCTTTGCACGGTCTGTGAGTGGAATCTGCCAGAAGCCCTTCAATAAGTCAAACTTACTTATGTATCTTGCTTGACCAATGCAATCAATGTAATCATCCACTCTCGGAATTGGATAAGAATCAGTTCGTGAGAGTGCATTGATGGCTTTCAAGTCAGCACAGTAGCGCCAACCCCCCGCCACCACTCTTCAGCACAAGAATACATGGTGAACTCCACGGACTGTCACTTGGTTCAATTATGTCATTGTCCAGCATGTATTTCACTTCTTTCCGCAGAATATAACGCTTCACAGGATTCATACGATATGGATGTTGTTTTATAGGCACAGCATCACCTACATCTATATCATGGTTAACAACATTAGTTCGGCCAGGCACATCAGGAAATAAATGAGAGAACTCATGAATCAAATCTGGCATTCGAACTTTCTGCTCAGGGGAAAAATGTGATAGTTTCTCATCAAGGTGAGCTAACACATCAGAATTTCTTAACTTTGGTGAAGCATTATCACTAAGGTCATCAAACTTCACATTGCTAACACCATCATCAATATTGTCAACATGTTCACAATTATTACAATTTAGTACAATCAGTATCTCGAGAGAGTGTGGCAATACAATTTACCTGTTTGGTTTCTAATATGTCATTGTATTTCTTAATTATGTATACATGACACAACCTCTTTTGTTTACGACGGCCAGGCATCAGGACGGCATAGTCTGTGTTGCTAACCTTTTTGTCAATAACATATGGACCTTGATACCTAGCTCTGAGTGGTTGACCAGGAATGGGAAGTGAGACTAACACTTCCTCACCACGAATGAAATTTCTCTCTTTTTACTTTCTGTCATAATTTAACTCAACATCCTCAACCTGCACACTAATAAGCTGCTCTCTAGAATAAAGGTGATCACCATCTGACAAACTATCAGACATATCAAGAAGACCTGAAGAGTTACTACTCTTTGATAATAAGTCATCAGCTTCTACCTCACTAAAAGAATGATCCATGAAAGTATCTGACAAATCATAAATGGAATAATTCGGCAAAAAAGTCTTGGAAGAAATGCCTTTCGACATTGAACGAGTCACTGCACAAGAAGGAAAAATACACCTACATTCATCCTCCAACTTTTCTGTACTATCTGAACTCTCCAAAGAAACAGTGACAATGGGATCAGCACCAACTTTGGCCCCCATCAGACCATTACCGATCAACAAATCGACACCAGGAACTGGGAGAGAGTCAAGAACACCAACTTTCACCTTACCACAAATCAGATCTGAAGTCAAATTCACAAAATGGTGAGGAGCAGAAGAATTGCCACCTATACCCTGAAGCAAAACATGTGAGTTCGCAGAAAAAAGCAAAATATACTTCAAAATCAGAGACTGAAAAGCTCCAGTATCCCTCAAGATAATAACAGGCCTTGGGGTAGAATTATCTCCCATAAGCGACACAGAACCATTAGAAACAAACGGCAAATACTCCTTCCGAACTACAGAATCTGGGGACTTATTCTCACAAAAAAACCTCTTCTCAAAACCACCTGGAAAGAAAGGCTTAGGTGCGATAGACACAAAAGCATTTGGAGAACCTGCAGCCTGATCTTTTAAACTGGGGTTTGTAACATGCAGAAATCAAATGACCTGGATTCTTACAATATCCACAAACAAGATCAGAACTGGAAGTGCTGGGCTTAGAATGAAAAGAATGTGACTGCTTATCAGAAGAATTTGAACCTGTTCTAACACCACTGTAACCTGCATGTCCTGAAGTCTTACCCGGGAAGAGCCCTTTTGGCCAAAAAACTTGGTAGTACCTGGAGACCTAAAAGAACTCTTGTTCGTCAAACAATAATCATCTGCCAACATCGCTGCCTCATGACAGTCATCAACCTTATGTTCATCCAAATAAGTCTTGAGATCAGAATAAACACTGTGCTTAAAATCCTCCATCAAAACTAACTGTCTCAAACCATCAAAATCTGTGACTTCCTTAGAACCACACCAAACAAAGTTTCCTTTTCTCTAGCAAATTCTACAAAAGTCTCATTGTCCCTTTTATGAGCATTTCTGAATTTCTGATGATAAGATTCAGGCACTAACTCATAAGCTTTTAAAAGGGTCCTTTTGACAAGTTCATAGTCTGAGCTTTGTTGTATCGACAAGGCCAAATAAGCATCCTGAGCTTTACCCTTCAAAACAGTTTGCAGAAGCATAGTCCATGACTCCTTAGGCCACTTGGGGTTTCAGTAACTTTTTCAAAATTTAGAAAATATTTGTCTGCCTCTTTCTGATTAAAAGGAGGTACAGTCTTGCATGCCTCGAAATGTCAAAAGAGGAAAAATTTGTGTGAGGAGAAGAATTTTCTAGCCTTTTCAATTCAATTTCTCTGTCAATTTCCATTTTTCTCAATCCTATTTCCTTTCTTTCTCTTTCTCTTTCTGTTTCTTTCTCCATTTCAAACTTTTTCATTTCCATTTCTTCCTTTTGAATCTGTAGTTGGATTTCAAGCTTTTTCATCTCAACATTTTCTTAATTTTCTTCTTTCACTTTCCAAAACCTCATGCCCGAAAACTTCCTCATCAATAAAGTGATTCATCATATACTGAGACAAAAAAGAAACTTCACATTCTTTCTTCAGGGCACTTTAATAGAACAAGAGATGGTAAGATGGTTAAATTGTTATTATTACATTGATGAGATCTGTGTGATGTACTCGATACACTGACAGTGTCATAATCAGTTCCATTAGGCAACACCGCCGTTGCAAAACATGGGTATACTGAATGTTAAGTCACAAAAATAAATATGCTAATGTTCTCAGTTCAATATCGTGTATGGCCGCTCCGCGCATTCCCCACTGCCAAACACCGTCTCCTTATCGACTGCCTGATGCTTGTGAACACGTGGTTGGGGATTCTGCACCATTGCTCTTGCAAGGCAGCGTCAAGGTCCTTCAAATTCTGAGGTTGGATCCTAAGACCAGGAATCCATTTCTCCCAAGTGCATCCCAAACGTGTTCTATTGGATTAAGGTCAGGGGACCTCGATGGCCAGTCCAGCATTTTGAAGGAAATTATGTGTCAACATCGCGGTGTGCAGCCGAG